TCTTATTAGTCAATATTGGATTGAACTCTTTTTTAATCACTGTATCACTCATAGTTAGAATTATCGGTGAGTGATCAGAGTTCATGTCCAGCCGTCATTGATATCCAGATAGTTAGCTGAGATATTTTTGTAAATAAAGAAATCTATCAGGTCTGGAATTTTGTTCCTATCGGTAGGCCAGTATGTTGGTCTACCAGTAGAGATTACTTCACCCTTTTGTTCCTTAACAGCTGACAATAGTTCTTTTCCTTTAGTTGTAGTTAGCCTAGAGCCCCAGTGGGTATTTTTTGCATTAAAGTCCCCACCGATGATGTATCTTTTTCCTAAAGTGTTCATAAACTCTTTATATTGCTCTCTTTTAATGGAGTGTCTAGGAGGACAATATATTGAACTTATATTTAAGGTATGTGTTTTCATCTTCACACAGCTGCATTATAAAGAGACTGCTCATTTTGTGAACGTTGTGTATTTTCTGCGAACATCGCATTATTTTGTTGGACTAGTAGTGCGTCCATTTCGGTATGAATAGGAAACATTATAAATATTTAAATATTTCGCTTACCTAAGTTAACTTGAATTTATCGCGATAGCTTACAGCCATGGCCATTGATATCACTCACGACTAATGATATTTTAATTACTACTTAATTACCACTGATTAGATAGCGGAGCTCTGAATACGTCTATATACTTGGACGGTCAAAGCCAGACAAAAAATCTTCTCTCAAAAAATTTAGATAGTCAAGCCTAGTTGGTAATTCGAATGATCCTACAATACAATCCCCAAATAGAGACATGCATCATCAACAAAATATGTTTATTTCGAAAACGGTGTACTTTTTTTGTGTAGAATTGAATGTTAGTTCCTGTAGTTATACTTCTTTAGGTGCAATTGGGAAAAATGTTGAGAGTGAATTTTTATAAAACTGACAGTATGAAGAACCTACACGCTCACCGACAGTATAAAGTTAGTTGCTAAATCTTTGAAGTTACGTATGTATCAGTGCAAATAAAGTGTGAAAAAAATATATTTTATAATTTTTATGTCCTTGAATTTGTCTTCGTCGGAAACAGGATAATAGACATTAAAATATGATGAAAATACGATTAAAAGACAATCTTAATATTATTTGTAGATATAATCTGTCAAAATAATTCATTTTAGTATGAATTTTACGGCCATATCACACTGGCCTACACCAGTTATCGCTCGAAAACCATGAATAAACCAACGTTATAGTAGGTGGCACCATCTAGTGTCAATGGTAAAACTAATATCATTTTCATATTAAGCATACTAAATAATAGCAAGATACCAAATTTCACTTAAATCGATTGAATAGTTTTCAATATATCCCTAAAAATAATATAAAAAATATTAATGAATCACCCTGTAGACAGAAAACTAACAATATTTTGTCTAAGCAATTTGAACTCAAACGCTTTATTTTGATGTCAGCTATCACCCATTAGCTAATGTCCAATTAATTATGGGACACCCTATATATATATATATATATATATATATATATATATATTATATAATATATATATATATATATATATATATATATATATATAAACATCATCAGCGTATTGTATACCTTTACTATATTGACATCGAACACCGAGCACCTTAAAATAGAAGCCTGTGGTAAACCGTTGTTAACAATGGTAAATATTTTATCACTTACCTGACTTGTGTGATTTCCAATAAAAGCCAGAGGACCTTGGCTCAAAGGCCTCTGTATTCTAGGAGGTGAAATAGTGGTGACAGTCACCCCACCACTAGATACTCTGACATTAGGTCCAGTCCACTTACTAACACCAGTCACTGTAACGTTGTTTGAGAGTGGTGGGACGGGTGTTGCGTTAATATGTTGAGAAGAACTCAAACCAGTCATACTTTTATGAAGGCCGCCCACTGAACCTAAAATAGAATTATCAAAGTTTTTAAAACAACAAAAAGTTTGCTCATTGGATAGTAATAAAAGTAGCAAAGGTTGGTTGGTATAACCACGCAACTACTCCAAAAGTTTCCACATGTCCGAGAGTTTGTTAAATAGTTTCAAATTTATGTACATCTAAAAAAGGGCCTTGAACTGTTCTTAATAATATAATTTAACTGAAGTATACAAATAAATACAAAAAGAAAAATTTCCCCCACTTAGGAAGAAACCAGAAGCCTATAGAACAGGCACCAAGGAAACCAGCAATCTAATAGAAATTCCTGGTGTTTCTAACGCTAAAAAAACTTCAGAAAATAGTCAAACGACTGAAATTACAAACCAACAAAGTGATGTCGGCTCAAACCATTTAACTACAATCGCTAACCTTGAAAACCTGATAGTAAAACCAATGGAGAGAATAAATACATGCTTAATGTCCTTACCACTATGAATTCCAAAATGCACTAATGCAAAACAGACTTAAAATTTCCGTCTGGAACTCAAATGATCTAACGAAGAATATCCAAGAAATCAAAATTTTTCTCGACGAGAATAAAATTGATGTTATGCTCATATCAGAAGCTCAACTAACAGACAAAAATTATATTAAAATTCCAAAATACATTGTTTACTAAACAAAACATCCAAATGACAAAGCACACGGTGGCACAGCTATCATCATCAAATCAAATATAAAACATCATGAGTTAAATAAGTTCAGTGAAAAGTACCTATAATCAACTAGCTTCGTCATTGAAGACTGGCTAGACAATCTTACCTTATCTGCAGTCTACTGTCCTCCTGGCCAATCCATTAACGAAAACAACTTTAATACCTACTTTAGTTCTCTTGGACACAAATCCATAGCAGGAGGAGACTTCCAACTGCAAACATCACCACTAGGGCTCTAGGGTAATCACAACAAGGGGTAGACAACTCCTGAAATTAATAATGGGAAACAACCTACAATGTATATCTACAGGAGAACCAACTTATTGACCTACAGATCCAAATAAAACACCCGGGCTCTTATATTTCTGTGTGATTAAAGGTATATCTCTTATATACTGCGCAATACAATCAGGACCTTTCGTCAGACCATTCTTCCATTCTAATTAACCTAGACTCCAAAGTCATACTTAGAAGTAAGCCTCCAATCCTAACTAATAACCAAACAAACTGGAACATATTTCGAAGTGCACTTACAGAACAAATATCAATGAACTTGCCACTCAAAACAGAAATATAAATTGAAAATCTGTACAATATCTTACTACTTCCATACAAAAGGCGGGATGGAGTGCTACTGCTGAACAGACAATATGGAAAGAAAGCATAAATTGTTCTCTGAGTGCAAAAAGCTTGATTGAAGAGAAAAGAAAACTAAGGAGATAGTGGCAAAACACACACGCACCTATTGACAAACCAAACCTAAACAGAATTACCAGAAGACTTAAAAATCTGTTAAAAGAAGAAAAAAATAAGGGAATCCAAACTTATTTAGAAAATCTGACGCCGTTCAAAGATACAAACTATTCTTTATGGAAAGCGACGACAAAATTAAAAGGGCCATAAGACGCCATATCTCCTTTAAAAAATTTCAAAGGTAAATGGGCAAAAACAGATATAGAGAAATTCGAGACATTCGCAGAACATCTTTCAAAAGTATTTAGTTCATTTTCCATAGAAGTGCCTGTAAAACAAAAAGAACCACTTCATTCTTTTCTTGACGCTTTATATCAAATGGAACTACCAATCTCCCAATTTAACATTAAAGAAGTAGAGCAGATAATAAAAAATAAGATAAACCCCAACAAGGCGCCAGGATACGATCTCGTTACAGGTAAGCCTTCAAGAACTAACCCATGATTGCTACAGAATAATTACAATGATCTCCAATGCTATGTTAAGTCTGCACTACTTTCTATTGCAATGGAAAGTGGCACAGATCAAACTCATTCAAAAACCTGGTAAAGATCCAAAGGATGTCAATTCATACCGACTGATTAGTTTACTCCCAGTCATTTCAAAGGTTTTTGAAAAACACCCCATCAAATCTGCTATACCTCAGGGTAGTGTGCTCGGACCGGTCTTGTACCTGCTATATACGGCTGACTTATCAACAAGCAATAACCTTACGCTTGCAACATTTGCAGATGATACTGCTTTTTTAACATCTCATAGTAATCCAGTAATAGTATCAGAGATACTGCAACTACATCTAAACAAAACTAATGAATGGTTTAAACTCTGGCGAATTCAAGTAAATCCCTCAAAGTCCACACACATAACATTACCCCTAAGAAGAGGTATATGCCACAAGTTAACCTCGATGGATATCCTTTACTCCAAAAGTAAAATATCTAGGCATTCATCTGGACAAAAGATTAACATTGGCCAAACATATATGGACGAAAAGACTACAACTAGGAATTTTATACAGAAAACTTTACTGGATGCTGAGAAAAAACTCACACCAATCGATCGACAACAAGCTGCTGATATACAAAGTTATAATAAAACCCGTTTGGTCATATGATTTGCAGCTCTGGGGATCAGCTAGCAAATCTAATGTTATGAAAAAACAAAGATTTCAATCTAAAACTCTAAGAACAACGGCTAATGCCCCTTGGTTTATCCAGAATGACGTGTTACATAGAGATCTCCAGGAACTGTGAAGAGTGCAAAAGAATTTCTGAACAATATCAAAACAGGTTGCGCGTGCATCCTAACAACCTGACATACAATCTTCTCCACAACCAACAAGCGAAGAGATTAAAGCGGTATGATCCCTTGGACCTACGAAACCGTTCCTGGCAGTGCCTACAGTGGTGGAAGCTATACCTTCAACAGCGCCCAGCCATTGTGATCTGTGCCGTTTTTAGTATTCGTGTTCGCGTATCTGTGTATGTGCGCATCCCACCGGTAAACAAGCTAATATTTGTGTTATGATTCTTTGGTCACTGGACCTTACATCTCTCTGACATTGTAAAGACAAACAATTTTACTTATTGTTTTTATTGTGAAACAGATTGTAAAAAATCTTAGATGTTAATAAAAAACAGAAGTATATTTACCTCCAGCTATATTAAGTTTTGTCATACTCCTATGTGTATTAATACTGGGAGCCGTATGTAATCTTCCCGTACTTCTGGAGTCACCCAATTTCGCTCTACGCGTATATCCGGCGTTAGGTGTCGGGGTCGTCGTATGAACTCCTCCAACTTTCACGATCGTCACTCCTCCGGATGTCACTTGGCTCTGAGTTGTGGGTGTTGAACCCTGACTAATTTGATTTGTGCTAAAAACAAAAAGAAATTATTGTCAAGTATTCTTTATTAAACCTATGGGCAGTATAGACCCAAATTGCATATCTTCTATCTATCTTCTATCTATCTATCTATCTAATCCGATCCTTCTCAAAGTACACTTAGCTGAGACACCCGACAAATTCTAAGTACATACTCTAGGCATTTTGAGCAATCAAAAAAGGCTTCTCATTCAACTACACCAAATTTAAAATTTAACGGACACTGCGAATGACTTGGACTTGCTAAGTTAAACCAACTGAAAATTTACAAAAACGTTTGCCTTTTTCTGTTGTCTCAGAAAATATTAGCTTCAAAATACATAAAGAGAAACTCAAAGAAACGACATTCTTTGACCAACAATTCCGAAAAGAAGAGCTAAAAATAAAAATACTGGACAAAACTTTAGCGTTGAGAACTAAAATTTTAAGGTCATAAACAAATTTGAATACCCAATGCTGAAGGGTTGGAGCGCTGCCACATGTGTCGGAACAAGAACCATTTCTAAAACTGAAATTTTCCCTTTGGGAACTTCGACATAGCTTCAAGATTCATAGCAAATATATAAGAAATACCAGACACCACAGGAATATAATATATTCGTAAAAATAGGTAGGTTAAGATCGACTGACCTCCTGTCAAAAACGAAAGAAAACTATTCTCCCAGAACTAGACGAAACCTATTATTACTGCCAATGGGAAATAGGAGTAGAGAGTCAGGCCAGAATTGAGATTTAAGAATGGTGTTGACGAGGACAGGAAAAAGAATGGTGCGATAAATTGGAAACTATTCAACATTATCACCGATGATGATCGCCAGAGAGACTAGTTACGTCATGAGTTCACGGTAAGATACCTTTAATATCTGAAATCTTCAATCATAAACCTAAAATGTACACTTATCTGATAATACTTTACCTGGTGTGATGTCTATGTCGAATTCCCAACAGGACCTTATCTGTAAACAGTACTGGATATGAGCTGCACAATAGAGTTGCCTCTCGCAATAATATAGTTTGAGAACTTCTATCAGCCTTAGGTAAGTATTCAAGTACAAAATTTAAAGCGTCCTGTGCTCGATCCTTAAAAAAATAGAAATTTACAGTATAAACCATTTTAAAATGTTATAGTATATTTCTTCAATGCTTCCTCCATTACTAAAAGTTACGTATAAGTGGTGCAATCTGTTCCACGACTTATTCTACCCTTAGTACAAAACGTGAATATCTTTAAGCTCTTATCTTATTTAGCCAGCAGTAACTTCTTGACTTCTTACTCTAACTAATTCTCAACTTCTTCACTAGAGTTTTCTCTTTAATTCAATAACTTTGTGATAGTTGGGTCCAACAGTTTAGAGAAAGCACTTATGTGCAAATTGTTTCAGAAATCGATCTAAACATATCCTTAATCAAAGGAATTTCATACCAACCCATCAATTTGATTTCAGGAATAATCATTAGAATATTGATTGCGTGCATCGACTTACAGATGTCACTGAAAAAAACATTAGAAAACAAAGATGTTTCGTCTGCCGTTTTCTTGATGCCAAATAGCGTTCGACCGAGTATGGCATGCAAAACTTTTCTTAAATTGAGATCTTTTCCTCCTGTTTATTTATATGTGTAAAATGTACTTGGACCTAAAACAGATCAGGGCTGGGATGACACAAGTGAGCATTTTGAAACCAGTCATATATGATATAGATAATTAATATTCAATTAGTATTGCGCAATACAATGGTCACGTTTACTGATATACGGTGGACATGGCAGTGGTATAATCCATGGAAAGTTCAATCAGAAAACTCCAGTCTATTCTCTAGAAAATTGCTATCTGGTTAAAGCAATGGTGCATTAAGTTCAATGAACCCAACTAGACTTATATTAATTTTATAAACAAGAGGATTATACAACAACCAGTTTACATTAATGGCACATAATTAAAGTATGCTAATATAGCAAAATATTTTTGTATATCTCTTAATGTCAAGCTTCTGCAGAAAGAGTACATTAAGAAGAAACGTGAAGACAGCGTCAAGTTAAGAAAAATTTATTTGTTGTTTGATTATAATTGTGAGTAATCACTCCATAACAAGCTTATTATATCAAGAAAATAATATGTTTAGTGTTAAATTATGGTGCAGTTCCAATAAATTCAACGCTTTTAGAACAAAGTGCTAAAGTGTATACTGAATGCGCCTGGACATTTGCGTAACAATGACCTTCCAGCTTCACATGGTAAACATGTTCCACATCTTCTAATCAAACCATGAAGAAATACTTTACTGCAGACTGAATTCCAAACAAATATCAATAGACATTGTAAAAAGCAAATAATTTATGTTTCAAAAATGAGAATTGCCTATTTCTTTTTGTTTAATCTCCTGTATTTGGTTTTGTTTTCATTCGTCTTGTTTTCGTGCGCTACCATTCACGCACCAACCAGCGTACGGGAAACATCTCCAAACACGGAAAAATTGTGCATTAGTTGGGATAGGGGTTATTCCAACTTTTGAGCAATTTAAAATTTCCCATTGGCTGATTCTACGGAAAGTCCACTTTCCTACGTCATAATCCCTGTGAACAAAAGAATTTGGGATATAAAAGAAGGTGGATTTTCTGTAATTGGTCAGTTCGAGCTTTCCCTCGTATTATAATACTCTAGGTAAAGTTCTAGTCATCCACCTAGCATCTGCATTTTATTTCTTATCCTATTTTTATTGATTTTATCGATATTTTATGTGCATTTGATATTATTGACTTGTATTTTAGCACGATTTCTTATGGAAGTCTCAGTGCAGAGTTAGCGCTTGAAACGTAAGCATTTATTTGTGCCATTTTATTGTGCTATTTTTCTGTTTAAGAATATAGTCTTACGATAGTTCACTCTACGTGACCATACGCTTGAAATATTCTTGCATTTCTTTGCATATTATATTTATTGTGCTATTTTATTATTGCCTTTATTTGTGTAATTTTCTCTTTTTGTGTTTTTCTTCCGTAAGTCAAGGAAACACTAGACTTTTCTGTTTTCTATTCTTCTTCGAACACACAGACTTGTGATATTTCAGATCAGACAAGAGTCGAAATATTTCACGAACCTCATGTATTTATATAATATATATAAATATAGTTGGGCACGAATCGTGCCCAACTATATAAAGAAAAATGTTGGATACCCGCAACACCTCCCGGTCTAACTCCCAAGACCGCAAGAAGTCCGCTGAGCAAGATAAGGGCCATTCCTAGCCTATCAACCTAAAGCCCTATCGACGCCTCCCGGCAACAGTCTTACACGCACTTGCGTCTGAAACGCAAATTTTATATAGTATCAGAGATGTACATGTACTGATATCAGTGTATCCATAAAATTTTTCAATATTAAAATCTAATTTTAAAACACAACTATTGTAATACTAAAATAAACATAACAAAGTACCTACCTTGCTCAATTTTCCGACTGAACTTATAATCTGGGCTGCCGAACACACAGTTTGTGGATATTTTTGAGCAGAATGTTTGACAGCATTGATATGGTCAACTAATAATCCTGGCATCCGTTCTGCCATATGTACAAATACTTCAAGAGTAGGACCTACAGTTACTGGGCTGCTGAGATATTCGCACAACTGTGGAACGCTTGCTTCTAATAACTGAAATATATTCTTCATTATTGATAAAGAAATTAAATACAACATAAATTAATGGGTTATGTTAGGCTGGTCTATATAATTGTTATATACTAATAAAATATTTCTTCCGTTCGTAGCACTTTTTTACAAATACCTGCAAATAATTAAAATACTACTTTATTAAATTTAAAATTATATTAATTAAAATAGGTACAATAAAGAAAAGCACGCATTTGACCGAACTGGACTTCAACGGAACGCATCCCTACAGCCCGGAATTAAATGCCTTAATTCAAAATCGGTAAAATCACGTGAACTCAAAGATAGTGCTGGAGGTGAGAAATTTGACCTCGTACTTCGGATTTCAGAGTTGAAACCAGAAGTATTGTTTTAAAGTCGCCGAAATAGTACAAGCGATATATTGTTCGACGCGCTTTAGCAACACGAGAACAAATATATACTTCTGGTTTCGTGCCTGTCTGTCCACAACACCTCCGTTATTAGAACAGATAGAATGACAAATTAGGTGTCGAATGAATGATTATAACCCAAAGGTGGAATTAAAGGTGACCAATTTGACCTTGGACTCCGGTTTTGGAGTTGCAACCGAAAGTATTATTTTAATGTCGACAAAATAATAGAAGCGATTTATTATTCGACACGGCTTAGCCAGATGAGAACAAATATATACTTCCGGTTTTTATATAACTTGCGGTTAAAAAGTAGTAACCGGAAGTGCCGCATTATAGTCGCAGAAATAGTACATGCAATATATCAATCGACGCGTATTGAAAAGTCGCGTTTGAGTATTTAGTTCCGGTTTTGATGTCAAAATGACTCAATATTGGTGAAATCGTATATAAATCGATAAATTTCGGTTAAGTTGGGTGAAAGCCTTTTATTGCAGGATTCGTTCTTCGTACTCCCGAGTTACTAAGTTCCCGAGGTACTTTAAAATGCCCTCTCGTCGCCAAGTTTACGCGGAACGCCTACCTGCTAAACCAGACCCTCCTCTCATCCAGCGATTCGAAAGCGGAATGGCCGCTGTAAGGTCGGCATCACTTCCGAAGCACTACCTTCATTCCTTCATTCTCCATTCATCCGTATCCATACTCAATTAATCAGCAAGGAAACTCCCTGTCTCGTTCCAGATAACGTATAGAAGACCCTCATCGCTCCTAGTACGGCATCACTCCCAGACGAGCATTTCCTCCTTCCCCTCAGTATGGCTCACACAGTCTAACTCATAGTCTAACGCACTTTTCTAGTTTCAACTTCCAGCATCTTTCCCTCTTACCTCTGCTGTTGGACCATTATTTGGGAGAAGTTTGAATCCATACTTCTCCTTGTAGATCCACGTTCCATCTGTATGAGCAGACATCGTGACTCCATAGTTCCCAGGCCGCCCTCATCGTCCACCTCCGCTGTAGCACCTGGTAGCTGCGGAAATATAGCTTTAGTCTTTTTCATGCCTTCATTGTCCTCGTCGTTCTTGGTGACAAAGACTGCCACGTCTCCTGTTATTTCCGAGATGTCTCCTTCTTCTGCACGCCTCTGGATGTCATGCACACACACTCCCTTGGTGCCCCTTCTTCCTTATTTTATGCCACTTCCTCGATAAAATCGAGCACCGATTTCTCAAGATGTCGACCTCCCTCTTTATGAATAGCCTTGTATATGGTACCTTCCTCATGAGTTTCCCGAGTTCCGCTACGCTGTCCTGGAGACGCTCCAACTTTGATCTAGCTTTGTAGCTAGTTCAGTGGCTGTCCCTCTTCCTCCCAACTGGTCGTTTCTGTCCTGTTGCTTGGTTTTCTTTTTCTTGACCTCCGCTTTTTCCATTCATGATCAAAGCTGCTTGCTTCTTCTTCTTCTTTTCTTTCGTTTTCTTTCCTTAGAATCTCCTCCCTCATTTTATTTTTTCCCTTCTACCTGTTTTCTCCTTCATCTTTCTCTTTGTCTCCTCCCTTTATTTCTTCCTCTCTCTTGGTTTGCTGTTTTTCTCTTTCTTCCCTATCCTTCCAGGCTACTTCTGATTGCGTTTTTTCTAGCTGCAATTTCTTCCACTTCTCTCCTCCAGCATTTCTTCGCTCAAGTTTCATCCCTTTCTTTTACTCCTCCTTCTACTTTCTCCTTCATGCCCGCTGCTACCTCTTCCGTCTTTTTTATTTTTCTTATTTTTAATTGGGTGAAAACTTAGAACTTACGAAGTCCAATTGTTTATCGTCTGCCTCATAGGCTTACATGGGTGTGTACACTTGTAATACATTCACATTTATTCTTGTTCTCTGCAATTTCATCATTAATATCCTACATCAGAATGCGAGTAATATGACTTTTAAATCTTTGTCTGTGTCCTTCGTCACAATTATTGCTACAGCATTTCTGTGTTTTGTATAATAGGACACGTCCCATACGAAGCAACCCAAGTAACAAAAAGTTATCTTTGGATCAAATAAATATGAGGATAGTGCTTTTTCATGCAAGCATGTTTATCATTTATTATTCAGCATAATAGAATTTTTGTGTTCTACGCGTTTAAAATTAAATAATGTTGATTAGTACCTTGAACTAGAACCTTGACATGAGTCATCCTATTGTACCTATTCTTTATGGTAAATAGTAATGGTGTTTATTCTAATATATTTGTCAAAGAAATGTTCCTACATAGATAAGATTGTATATATGCATATCAATAGGTAATACTAAATCAAAACGATAAAAATATTAATTTTTTTGAAAACATGAATGTGGTGTTTGTAGTCGAGACGGTACCTGCTCTAAAACACTATCTTTTAGGTAAATCGTGTATGATCTTATTTTTTTTTGCTTTATTTAATGGATTCGAAATATCAGAAATGATAATTTTAATCAGCGGAAAATTCAAAATGTGGCCTAAATTTTTGATTAAACAATTTGTGAAAAAAATTGGAAAAATTCAATTTTATTTCTCCTTTTCGTTGCTATATATCGACAGCTATGCATTTTAGAAAAAAATTGTGGCGTCAAAAGTTTTGCAATTACATGTCCTACAAGATAGAATTTACTGAAAATTAAAAATAATTATAATTATCGTAAAATTTGCAAAAAAGCATTAAAAAGGACTAAAATTCAATGTTTTTTTAATAATCTGATGACTACACCCTGATATTAGCTGCAACTCGGAAAGAATTAGAACATATAATATAGAAACTCAACAAAGTAAGTCAACAATCATCATCAGTCAGTCATTCTTATCCACTGCTGAACATGGCCTCCTCCAACTTCTTCCACATATTCCGGTCTTGTGTGCTGTTTATGCAGTTTCTTGTTATCCTGTTTATATCGTCGGTTCATCTGGTTGAAGGCTTACCTCTACTTCTGTTATCCTCTCTGGGCCTCCATATTATTAGTCTTCTTGTCCAGTGGTTGTTGGCCATTCGGGTGACCTGCCATTTCCATATCGGCGTTCGATATTCTATATTTCTAGGTGAATCCCAGCATCGCACTCTCCATTTCCCTCTACGTCCCTCTCAGATTGTTTATTGAACGTTTTGTCATGGTTATGATAATTGATCGAGCTATATCAAGCAAAAGTTACAAGCATAGCGGTATACGAAGTAATGAAAAGTTCAACTACCTAGGATTGATAATAACAAATAATGGGGTGTGAAGAAGAAATAAAGCGACGAATAACAATGACTAGGTCAGTAACAGCAAAACTGACAAAAATCTAGAAAGACACCGACATAACTAAAGCCACGAAACTTCGCATTATATAAGAACTGATATTCCCTATTGCTAAAAAATGAATTATTAAGAAAGCTGACGGAAACTGAATTAACGCCATTGAGATGTGGGTATACAGGAGGATATTGAGAATTCTATGGACAGTACATCGTACAAATGAGTCTGTGCTTCACGATCTAAATATTAATACTAGATTCATTACAAAAATAAACAGAAATGTTCTGAGGTACTTTGGTCATATCACTAGAAGGAAAGAGGGCATGTAAAGACTGACCGTCGAAGGTCGAAGACAGAAGATTAAGAGGCAGATTTCCTTCACGGTGCTCTGATCAAATTAAAAATTTCACAGAACTCTCCCTTCCGGAACCACATTACAAAGCTGAAAATAGAGTTGAATGGTCCATCACAGTCAATCAAAGATCATGACGTCACCATATCATTGCGTAGGACAATGTTTCCCAAAGAGGGGTCGCGACCCCTGGGGAAATCGCCGAACATTTCCAAAATAAGACAAAAGCACCACTTTTGGTGCTTTTGTCTTATTTTGGAACTCACTCACACAAATATGATGTTACAAATGGAACCAAACATTTTACAGCTTCACTCGCCAACTGGGGGTATTCCTGCATCTTTTCGGTCCAAAACTGGTCCGAGTTTTGGGAAAAAAATTGGAGCTTCAACATTCCATCACTTGATATTTCAGTAAGTTTTTCTTTCATGTTTATTGGTATTTCAACATGATGAAAGGAATCGGCTAAAAACGGATTTAGTATCCATCTGCAACTGTCGTAACTGTTTTGAATTTCTTCGGGGAAATAATCACAGAGCTGTTGTTTTAATTGAGCAAAGTAACATGCATGTCAGCAAAAACTTGTTCAAAATTTGTAGCACTGTAATTGGATATATTTTCCATAATTTCCTGGAGGCACTGGAATGAATCGAGTTGTTTTTTGCCAAGTGAGGTCGACCATAAATCGATTTTTCTTAGAAACGCCTTAATTTAATCTGTGGCTGTAATTATATTAATGTCGCGACCTTGTAAATTACTGTTCAAAATATTTAATTGCTCGAAAATATCAGCAAGGAAACCTAGTTTCAGAAGCCAAATAGGATCGAAAAATTGATTTTCATATGGAGACTTCTCATCTTTCAGATACATTAAAAGCTCTGCTCTTAAGTGAAATACTCTTTTTAAGACGTTGCCCCTTGAAAGCCACCTTACTTCGGTGTGATAGAGAAGATTTTCAAATAAAGCACCCATGTCTTCGCAAATTTTTCTAAAAATACGGGTCTGAAAAGCTTTTCCTTTAATGGAATTTACAACTTTAATGATGGTTTTCATAACACAGTCCATTTCAGAGGTAAAGCTTTGGACGCAAGAGCTTCTCGATGTAAAAAAACAATGTCTCCATTTGGTATTAGGCATTATTTCTTGTAATTTGACGACAAGACCAGATTATGTCCTGTCATAGCTTTAGCGCCATCTGTGCATATAGCAATACATTTACCCCAGTCAATATCATATTTACTTGTACGCTTCACAAAAGTGTCGAGTAAACATTTTCCAGTGGTATTGGTCTCCAATGGGGAACAAAATAAAATATCTTCTTGAATGCCATTATTTGTATCATATCTTACAAACGTAATGAATTGGGCACAGTTAGATATATCTGTGGATTCGTCCATTTGAAGAGAGAAGTACGTGCATTTATTAAGAGTTTCCACAACTTGCGCTTAAATATCTTCTGCCATATCACTAATTCTTCTTTGGATAGTATTATTTGACAGGGGTATTGTATTTAATTTTGCAGCCTCTCTTTCCCCACACATTATAAGTACCATTTCAACAGCTGCTGGAAAAATCAGATTTTCAGCAATTGTGTGCGGATTACTAGTTTTGGCAACACGATAAGCAACTTTATAACTTGCTAATAATGCTTTTTCATTAGTACTGGTTGCCAAGGAGAAACTATCTTGCTGTTTGTGAAGGACGTTCAGCTTTATTTCAAAGAATTCTGCGGACTTGTCTTTTTTATCTGGATATTTGCTATTTAAATGTCGAAGTAACTTTGATGGCTTTATGCTTTCTTTTGACAAGATTTGTCCACAAATAACACATTGTGGTTTATTGAAAATAACGGTAAAACCATATTTAAGATATTCATCAATGTAGAATCTGTTTTTCTTTTTATTGCTGCTACTGCCACTTTCAGACATAGATAGTTCTGCACTTCTTTTTAAAAACTTATCCATAATTTATCGTAGACGTAAATACGTAAACGGGAATACGTAAGTCGTAAAATATTTACTCATTACTCAACACCGCGTTCGCCACCATAGGCTGTTTGGATTCGAACTGAGGTTTCGTTGCACATCGCCGCTTATATAAAGCCAAAACGAGGCTACGAGAACGTTCCAGAGTGCCACCTAGTAGCGAGCGCTTTCGCGATTATCATGGAAGAGTTTTGCGATGTAGACGCAAGCTAATATGTCGCGGTGTACAATGTGCAGTCGACTTCTTATTATTTATTTTTATTGTAAATGCTATTCTGGCAGAAGTACCTACTACTAATTACTAGTGGGACAGACCGCAATCATTAAAATAATTGTATTAAAATAAAATAATTGGTTTTGATTTAAACTTAAACAGTAAAGTAAAATTAAATTTGAGAAACCATCAGATAATTGTAAATTAGGCACGCTATTTCTGTCAAATAATATTGAATAAATGATTGGGAGGAAATTGTGGGGTCGCGAACAAATTTTTTAGCAAAAGGAGGTCGCGGTTTAGATAAGTTTGGGAAACTCTGGCGTAGGATAACGGACTGAGGGGGATGATTTCAATAAAAGTTAAAGGTATGCAAGTAACTGCGCCGCCTCCAAATATCGACTATATAGTATAAACATATTTCCAATTTAAATGTTTAAAGGAATACAAAGTGTTTTTTCTTTTACTGGAATTTATATTTTGAACTTTATATTTTTCTTTTACTGGAATTAATGGTTGAGGTGCGAGGCGATTCATCAACATCATTTGGAGAGGATCTCGATAAACTTGGCTTTTTAGTCATATCGAGGTAGCTAAACTAAGTCTCGGAAATTGCTATACGTAATATAGTAGTTACAGCGTAAGAATGGAAAAATTTACAACAATATCACAAGCAGAACATTGTAACGTATTAATTTTAGTAGAAAAAAATATTACGTGAAAATTTATATAGATGATTAAAATAGATCAGGAAGTATTTTCAACCATTGCACATGATTTGCTTTCATGGTTGTCATATACGAAGTATTTCCTTACATTTTTTACAAGTTGAAATAACACAAAAAAAGATTTTTGCAACCTTTTGAAGTAAAATAAATTATAGTATTGCTATTCTTAAGATAATATTCATAATACTTACCGTAGGGTTATCTTTCGCCATTAATGTAAATAAATTTAACAAAGCTAATTTTTCTTGATTATCACAGTGAGGAAGGAGAGAGACCAAAGCCATGGCATGACCTTGGAAGGGTTCTCGAGAAACTTCATATATGTTAGGTAGAACCCTACATAGAGGATAGTTTCCTGCAATAAAAATACAAGTAAGTTTTCAATTAACGCAGCTTTATTTTATTCATTCGGCATTTTTAAATCCAAAAATATTTTTTTATTCCTTGTCCATACATTTTTTATAGACACTTCAAAGAACCTCGTATATAAATATGGATCTAATAAGTTTTCATCGATTGGCATATATTTGTCCACTGCTGAACGTTACCTTGTTGTTACCTTATGAATGTCTTTGTGATCAGACCTTGTGGTAGCTATCTTCATTTGTTCTCTGTAGCAAATTCTAATAACTTTTTCCCGTTTTAATTTGTTTCCCTATGTAAACTTCGTCCCCATGTTATTCTACTATATATTTTGCCTCTTTTCCAACTTTCGCATTCATGTCGCCAATGATTATCTTTATATCGTATTTCTGTATATTCCCTATTAGGGTGCTTAGCTTTTCGTAGAACTCTATTTTGGTTTCTAAGTCTTTCTCTTCAGTGGGCGCAAGTACATTAATGATACTTATCTTCCCATACTTTTCTCTTACTCTCAAGTAACACATTCTGTCTGATATTGGTTGAAAATTTACAACTGCTTTGTTTACTTTCTATAACACCATGAATCCCACTTCAAAATATATCTTGGTCCCCCCCTATTGAACATTTCTATTTTTATTATTTCATTTCCCAGTTGTTTCGTTTCTGACAGGGCAAGGATATCTATTGTATATTTTTCCATAATTTGGTCTAAGTTTCTTAAAGCTCCTTGCTCATAAGTACCTCTCAATTTCAAGTCCCAATTGTAATTATATCCGTGGGTTGTTGCCTTTCTTTTGTGTTTATTTTTCCGTTTTCCATGGTCGTATTCCTTTGCCTTACCGTTTCAGTATCATATCTCCCAGGTTGTTTCTCTTCTACTAGTTTTTTGGTAATTTTTCTTTGGTATTTTCTTTTAGTTGTTGTTTTTCTTCATCCCATATCCATTCTTTCCCATTCACGAACAACTTTTTATAGCCTATTTTTGTCTGATTTCCTACTTTTTTCTTCCTTTGCTATTTTATCTATTTCTTTCTGTATTTCTTTTGATGTCAGATCATTATTTTTGTAGATGTGACCTTAATGATACTTCAACTTACCTTTCCTCTTTAGTATCTCAATTTTATCCGTGAAAGTTTCTGTTTCTATGGCATAGATTGTTTCTCCTATTTTTGTTGCGTTCCTCAATTTTATTTGAACCTGCAGTTCTTGTGACATGAATGTTTCCATGCTTTCTTTTATTTTTTTTATCATCATTTGTATCTATTTTTAAACCCGATTTAATCAAACTTTTCTTATTACTTGTTTTCTCCAGTTGATCCATTCTGTCCTGAATTTGTTCCACGTCGTTTTTTAATTTTCTGTTTTCCTCCTTTATCTCTTGTAGTTGTTTATTATTTTCCATTTGTTGTTTTCTTATTTGCTTTATTTCATTCATCATTTCTTCATATTTTTTCCATTAATTGTTGCATCAATATTTAAAAATATCAGTAAAATATATTTTACTTTGACTAAAAATCATATGAACAAGCTGAATTATGCCTACGATTGAGGCGTTTTAACGGGGAAGCCGGGGTAGGAGTGGTAACTTTTTTTTGCATAAAAAATTTATTAAAAATCCTTTGTAAAAGGTATATATTTAGACCCAAACGGACTAAGTTAAAAAGACAAAACGTTTTCGGAATCCATATTCCATCATCAGTTTCTAACATGAATGTAGCCACTAAATATGTGGGTAAAAACCCGTTAACAAATAATTAATTACATTTAGTTTACAAATGTTCTTATAATGGTTTAGTGATGTTAAAGTTACCGTTGGATTAGGTAACATGGCGACATATGACTCCACGTTGAAGTTGCTAGTCTTGAGACAGTGTGTCTACGAATACTGTATGGGAGCAACTGAATAGCAATGAATTCGTAGACACACTGTCTCAAGACTAGCAACTTCAACGTGGAGTCATATGTCGCCATGTTACCTAATCCAACGGTAACTTTAACATCATAAACCATTATAAGAAAATTTGTAAACTAAATGTAATTAATTATTTGTTAACGGGTTTTTACCCACATATTTAGTTGCTACATTCATGTACTCTTAGACACTGATGATGGAATATGGATTCCGAAAACGTTTTGTCTTTTTAACTTAGCCCATTTGGGTCTAAATATATACCTTTTACAAAGGATTTTTAATAAATTTTTTAATATATGGTATACAGCCAACTACAGGAACGTAGATTCCTTGTGGATTTTTTTTGCATATTTTTGGGGTCCCAAAATGGACATTCTCAGCAAAATTCAGCATGTTCGTATGGTTTTTAGAGGTTCAGTGGCATTCAGTAATTAATGCAATTAGTGAATAATATTTATTATCAGTGTAGTCTCAAACAATCTTTATCCGACATAATTTGGCGTTATTCCTATCTGTTATAAGCTGTACTATTAATTTATATAAATTTGGAAAGTAAGGGATAGTTTTCACCCTAAAAAAATTAGCACATATTGGCATAGGGTAGATATTGAAGTAGAGGGTATATTGAGCTTATCAATGAATTTTTATGCAAATCGATGCAGATAAAAAAATTTTGAGGTTTTTTAAAAAAATTTTATCATTAGACTAAGTCAATCATATTTTTGGTGGCTGAATAGTAGGAAAGATTTCCAAATATAGCTTCTTTTTCAACTCGAGAGCAACGATACCTAGGCATAATCTCGAGTGAATTAACTTGTCATGACGAGCTCCAAATTTTGATTTTCGTTAGTCAACATATAAAGTCAAAACATTGATCAATTAATATATACGATGCTACTTGACACAAAAATGTTTTGGATGAGAAGTATGTGAATTTTTTCATATGAGTTATGAGTGCTAGCTTGATTCATATGAAGAAATAGTGTTATAATGGTGGTGTACTTATGCATTTATATTTTTATTATAGTTTATGCAATCGAGCGAAGCTCTAAATATCCATATCTGTAAGAGAAAACCTTTTCTATAGATGCAGTGTTTCCTAATTTTTTTTAAGATCACTTTTGCTTATTTCATTATATTTTCCATTCGCAGGTAAGTCGTTTTTTAGAGTATGTTAGATTGTGATATAACTTCAATTCAATTTTTTTGGACTCTAAATATTTATTCCATATAAATAACATACATGTATTAATAACGATTTACTAACCTGATATTATAGAATCCATAATTGGCTGCACATGGGGAGTGAGCAAGGAAGCGTGTTCCATAGCTGCCAAAGATAAGTAAGAAGCCATATTTCTTGACAGTTCCTTATTGCCCTTATGTAAAAACTTCACAGCTACTGGAAGTGCTCGTTGCATTACAGACTTTTTACTATAATTCTAAAATAGACCATAATAATAAATATTAATATTGATCGGTATTTCAAATAATAGTAAGAACAATAAAACATCCCAGTTACTTTTACAGTATCAAACGGTCTATATTTTAATTTAGCATGGATTAAGTAACACAATAAATCGCTCTATATGTATCTTCCATTGTATCGCTAGCCCCATCACTAACCTCAAATCTCGTTGGATTATGCTTTTATACTTATTCCTTCATTTCATTTCTAAAAATGATACGAGCCGTTCAGCGTGCTTCATAGCATAGGGCACGTAAAGCCGTCGGTCCCGCTGTACTAGTGTGCATCGATACTAGCTACTTGAAACAGGGTTAAAGAAGCAAATGGCGCCAGAATCTATCCGAAAGGATCTTCCCGGAAAAAATGCCATACGATATTATTAATATTATTTGCCATTGTATAATGGCATACTTAATCCTTCAAAACATAAACATCTCACCTATATCAATGATACCAATCTACATACACCATTCTGTTCACCTTTATCCCAAACAACTGAATGACCTCTAGCAGCGCCACAGTTGAACGCACTTCACGTGTGTCTATCACTGTTCATGGACGCGAGATCCAAAATGCCGAGTACCTTAAAGAAGTAATGGAGAGCATAAAGGAGGACTACGAATACCCGTTCGACATGCCGATAAGTGCTGAGAAGCACGACCAAGTACACCCTGATGACACCAAATACGTCCTTAACGATAACTCATGCTAAACGTTCCGAACATGCTCGATGACGAAAATAAATTCGTAGCTGTCTACGTTCACTGATAAGAAAAATCCGCTCTCTTGTACACCAAAACTGCAATAAACAGCAAAGCCATTCAGGAAAAGCTTGAAGTCGACACCTTAGACCATAAAAACTGATAGACGCGCCGTAATGCGCGAGGAGTGAAGCCAACATAAAACGATTCACACAGTTGTGGGTGACGTCAGTTTGCGGCAGAAACGGTAGAGATTAGAAGTGTTTATACGCGTTGTAAACTTTTTAAAGTGTTTCAATTTAAAAATTTTCCAATACACTAATATTTTAATTATGGTGGCACCTTGCAGTGCATTTAATTGTACGCAGCGACAAAAAAGGGACAGATATATCATTTCATGGGTAAGTAAATTCACAAATTAAACTTGAAAAACATACCAGAAATTTAGCATCTATTATTTTACTTTTTCCTCCCAAAGTGTTTAAAATAGATACATATGAGATAGAGAGTCTTATATATAATTTTCATTTTATAATTAGATTGAAAACTAAAGGATTAAGTAAATAAATTGTTTTAGATTTCCTAAAGATTCATCATTGCAAAAAAATGGATTATAGCGATGCGCCGTGAAAATTTTAAACCAACAAAGAGTTCTAAAATTTGTTCCAAACATTTCACATCGGATTCGTATATTACTACCGGTTGGAGTTCAAAAAAAACAACTAAAAAAGATGCTGTACCTAGCATTTTCGATTTTCCAAACCATTTAAATAAGCAAGTTACAACTAGAAAATTTACAAAAAAAAAGAGAAACTGTTTCAGTCAAACCAACAGGATCTAAAAGGGAAAATATAAATATAACGAGTAAATCTACCACCATAAAGACTCCAGCGGAAATTTCAGACGAAACTACCTTAGAACCTCTCTTGAAAAAGCGAAGACATTATCTTGGTGACTTTGAACAAGGATCATCTAACAGGGGTATAAAGTAGTAGTAACCAAATTAATTCAAAAGAAAAACAAACAAATCAAAATGTTGCAACAACGAAATAGAAGGCGTATTAAAAAAGTAAATACCTTAAAATCTTTATTAGAACATCCTAAGTGTTCCAAAAATGGGTTTTTATTGGTATGATGATTAGTTTAAAATCACTAATGGGAATTTGGAAAAATTACGTGGAGGATATGGATGGAGGTCTGAAGTATCTTTCGGCCTATAAACTTTCTCAAGATCACTTAGAAGTTTTCTTTAGTTCTATTAGGAGTCATGGAGGTTACAACAACAACCCAACGGCAAAACAATTTAAAGCTGCATATAAAAGACTGTTAATGCACACAAGTGTTACAGGATCTACCCAGGTTAATTGTATAGAACAGGTACCTTTCATAATATTAGCAGTGAGCACAACAAATACTGTGAAAAAAGAAAACTGCTGATCATCAACTCATTGACAACTTTGTAACTGATGAAAATAATAGGGAAACAATAACTAGTAACCAGGATCAGGATTATGCTGTAAATAATTTAAGTTTTTCAAGAACATTGTCATCTTATGTTTGTGATGTTGTTGACTATATTGCTGGGTTTGTCGTTAAGAAAGTTAAGAAAACATTAGATTGTGACATATGTTTGTGTTCAATTGAATGTGATAATTTACAATCTCCATTCATAAGACACAAAAATTACAGCATATCAACCTTCTAAAGACGTCATTAATATTTGCAAAATCGCTGAAAGCAAAATTAAATTTATGTACAATTCAAAAAAATTAAACGATTCCAAAATGACAAAATTGATCTTAAATGTCATGAGTAACGTGCATGGTTCTGTGTTTAACGCATACAAACAACATATGTTTGATCATGAATTTGAAACAAACCATTTTTTTAATCTAATAAAGATAATTTGTTTCAATTATTGCAACATTAGATTGTACCACGAAGGTGAAAAACTAAATAATGTAATAAGAGTTAGAAGTAAGTTAACAAAAGCTATTTTGTTTTGTGGTCAATAAATAAATAGATTTACTACATATTTTTTACCTAACCTGAAACTTCCACTCAAAAGAAAATTATTCTCCTTTAAATTTATTTTTGAATATCAAACAAGAAGTGATATACCATCGATATATATAATAATATATGTAGGTATATACTCTCAAATAAAACATTTATTTTTACAATTTAAGGCAAAAATATTTATTTATTACTTTGCTAAATAATTTATCTTCCATATTTTTTACAAAATATTGAAGTTATATTAAAATAATCTAAAATTGGGTAATTATATTAGTGCTTTGCTAAGAATCCAAGCGGGCTCTTGCCGCATTGTGACGTCACTTTCGCGAAGGTCTTTGCTTCAACGGTTCGGTACAAGGCGTGTCTATCAGTTTTTATGGTCTAAAGTCGACACAAAGGGCATCTAACCGGCAGCAACCGCTCCAATCACGAAATACTCACTCCACCCTTCCCGAAAACCCTACACCAAGTTCATACAGCACCTCATACAGCATTACCCGCAGTACTCCATATTTCTGCAATCAACGCAGATTCAACCGATTATTTGAAATTCAAAACTTTCTTGGCTCCAAATTCGATTCCTTTAAAGTCATTGCAGCCGAAAATCCGCCAAACTGATTACCAAAATTCAATAAACAATCCGATCAAGAAACCGCACTCTCAGCCTCGGAAACAGAGGAAAAACCTTCCCAAACCAAATCATCCCCTACAACACCCTACACCCAACCAGCTGTAAGACAAACTTTACACCATTCGACCAACCCAGAAAATCTTCTACCGAATCAAATCATTCTCAACTGTCACCAATACACCACTCACCCAAACCACACCAACAATCCAACAAAACCCATACATATACCGAATTGAAAGTATGTCGTCCAGCATTTGCCAACAAAAGAAATTCTACCTAGTCATAAAATCCAACGAACTCCTGCCATAAAACACTGCTTCACTCAAAGTGCATCCACTAGACAAATCAGTGAATCTAAACACTTTCCAACTCATCAATGTTCACGAATTTGAATTAACACTCCGCAATACTATCGGCGACAACATAGTCACCATGAGCCCCAGACTCTCACGAAAAATCACCAATAGTTCCAACCCCTCATCCAGAAAACTTCAATCTAATCTCCATCTAGTAATTACTGGCCTGACAAAGACCTGACGCAAAAGACATCGAGCACAGCTTGTCCAAAGGCAACTTCCTTTTCACAAAAGTCGTCCGCATAATTGCCCGTTCAACAATAACATCCCAACCAATTTCGTACGAGTATTCACAGACTCGTATCACAGAATCAAATTTCGCTGGAGCATTCTCCAGGAGTATTCAGATTAACATTCATGGAAATACTGCATTGTGAGATTCTCAAATCAAACAATGCCATCTCGTTGCACCTGAAGTACTGCTCGAGATGCTGCCAAAGCAGATATCTCAATACCGAACGTCTCCAAACCAACCATCCAATGCCAAACCCAACTCGTATTTATTCACAAATAAAACTCCTTAAGTAATTCACTTCAGACATGAAGACGATAATTCACTTCATGTCGATGATCCACTTCAAGGTCTTCCCTGAAAAAAGAAGCCACGTCGCTCGTCTCTGTAACGAGATTTCCAAAAATATGTACGGTCAAGCCATGTCAACGTCGACGGACAACCACACCATTCAGATTTTTATCAAAACTCAATCCTTGTCACATCCGTCCCAGCTCCAAGAGGCCACACATTCGCCAACCACCTACTATAATCCAAATACGTCAGCCTAAATCATCAAATTGGGAAATGAGGGCCATCGAAAAACTCCTTCATAGTCGAATCAAGTACACAATGGACAAAGAAAGATTGTTTTTCTGTGATTTTCCAATCTAATTACCTGACCTAAGTGGGGACGTAGCCACAGCTAACCTCCACACGTGATTACTAAAAGTTCAAACACCCAATCAAAAATATTAGTCTATTACTTGAAAAAGCTATTAAGCCTAAAAAGGATTTCTCCCTCAATACCTATCCCATACTTGTCTACCATACGACCGTACGTATCTGATGTCACACATTTCAGCTTGTTGGTCATTGTATTAAGCTGGTGTAAAAGTCGGTATAGGTTGTTTTCGTTATCGGTTATTGGCACTGCACCGTCTGAATTGCATAAAATGATAATCTCGGTTTCTCGCGTTTTATATTCTTTTATTTTACGCAATTATTTGTTATTATTTTGTTCATGATTAGATGAATAGAAGGAAACTCAAGTTATCTCCCTGGAGGATCCCATTCCAATAGGTGTTGGTTGAGTAAGGTACTCGTTTATCTTTGTTTAGATATTGTCTACAGTCTTGATAAGTTGCATAAGACACGGTCAAATCCTTTTAGTCAATTTCAAAATCATAAAACATATAATCCGGTTGATTATACTCAATTGATTTTTTGAAATTGTGCGAAACATTTTACCAATACAACCAATTGCAATCACCAATGAGATCAGTGCAATTTAACTTTAATTTTTTTAGATCTTGCCACTTTTGGAATTCTACGAAAGACATCTTTGAAATTATTCGTCTCTGCTATTTATTTTCGTACAAAATATGTCCAGATGGCGGGAAATACATAAATAATACTTAAATATCGTTAATATAATTGACAGATTTGAGAAATACTTCATAAAAACAATAAAAAGAGATTTTAGTAAATATTAAATAATATTTGCCTTACCAAAAATATGCATGAAATAATATCCGAAGATATCTTGGCGTGGGGAGTGTCCTCATCTCTGGCTGATGCCTGTAGATTGTGATGTAGGCAAGATTCAAGTAAATTGACAAGAGCCTCACAGTGTTGTTCAACTGTGCCTGTTTCCCTTATACAAGAAGTCACCCTTGTTACGCATATCTCTACAACGCTCTGATCATTATCATTATTGACATAGTCTGGTAAAGAAGCAATAACTGTTATTTCTTTTAGCTGAAAACCAAGAAACACATATTAAGTATGTTAAAACAAATAAAGTTAATAAATGCCAAATTTATTACTGCGCTAAATGATTGTTTAAATCTGTATATTAATTTTTTAATTATCTGCATCAACCATGTAAATTTATTGCAGTGTTCTTTTCTTTTAGAAAAGTTTTTAGTGTCTCCTATTTAAAAGAAATTGCAATTAACTAAGGAAGTCTACTTTCTAATTCACCTAGGATATATAATCTGACCCCTTCTAGGATTACATTCACCTTAATTTTTTGTCATAATCAAATGTTAACGTATCTTTTCTTCTGTATAATTGCCCCAAATATACTGTTTTAATTCTTTCTTCTAAAAGCTATTCTTTAAATATAGCTCCCAGTAAAGCAAATGATACTTTGCGGTGTTTCAATCCCAAAAGGTACTGTGGAAGAAGTTGTTAATCTAACAGAGTGTGGATTGCTCAGAAGTGTGATAAAAAAACGAATGACTGAAAAGATAGATTGTATACCTATAGACATATACACTACTGCAACCTTATACGACAGTGTATAGTTGTAGAATCAGTCTCCTCATCTCACACTCACTCTCTTTCATTTCAGATCTCTTTCACATTCACAAACGAAGTGGAGTAGTAAACGCAGTCCCATGCGTGTTTTGTGTTACGGTGGGTTCAGACTCAAACATTTTAGCCCGAAAGAATAGAACGAACTGAGCCCGCAGGAACAATCAGAACGAACAGTACGGACAAAAAATCGTACGGTTCACGAGAATTGCGTTTGCGTCAAAAGTTCCAGTTGCTTGCAGTGTTTTAAGTCTGCTTTTCTCAAAAATTAGAAATTTACTAGATACAAAAATGAACACTGACATAGCAACAGTCTTCAACGCCTTTTTTATTAATTGTGAGATTAACAAAAAGAAGAACAAACGACTTAGTCAGTGGGTACGAAAATCTACATTGTACTGAAAATTTGATATTAGGAGAAATGGACCTCGTCCACAAGATTTCATTAGAATTAGAAAGCTATTTCGCTTGTGAGAAAAAACTAGAAGAATGAAATGGAGGAATCACTCTAGAAGGTAGAAAAATTTGTAACCTGCGATACGCAGATGACACACTTATACTAGCAGCGAATAAAGCCGAAATGATTACCATCAGTGAACGGCTAAGCCGGATAAGCGAGGAATTCGGACTTCAGATCAACACCGGAAAAACAAAAATATTGTCGTAGACAGAGCAAAAAATATCTACGGCAGATATATCAAGTGGCGAATTTCGAAGTGGTAGGGAGATTTGTATACTTGAGCTCCCTGATAACCAACCGCTACAGCTAAATTAATTAAAATATGGAAAGACCGAACAACGACAAAAATACTAGGCTCAGGTTGGTCAATATTCTTATTTTTTTCGTTACTACATATGCAGCTGAAACATGGACTGTCAAAAAAATCGATAGGGGTAAGATCGAAGCCTTCAAAATGTGGGTATATAGAATTTATACGCGTGTCCTGGACAGAACATAGCTGACAGAACCAATCTGTCAATTCTTGAAGAGCTTCATATAAAAGTATTAAAAAAAATAAACCGATCATACAGAAATTACTTCCTCCACAGAGCTAGAAGAACGGGGATCATGGAACTATTGGTAGTAGAAGGAAAGGTAGAAGGCCGAAGACAAAGAAGATCTTCAACACGATGGTAAGATCAAATCCCTGGTGGGAAAATCCCTACATGAAGCCGTCCATGTGGTACAAGATAGCAGCCAATGTAGATAGCAAGCTAACAATATCTAAAGCGTCAACACACCCTGCCAAGAACCCAAGAAATGAGCAGGAGGAGGATATCGGTTAAAGATCGTTTGTCTTTAACATTGAGATTTTTAGCTACTGATGGATCTTTTTAAAAGTCTTAAATATTTACGTAAAACACCGAAACAAAGCATAAGTGTCATTGTAGCAGAAACATGTAGAGCTCTCAGCCTGAGCCTTAAAAACTACATAAAGGTAAGAGATAGCACTAGTTTATTCTGCTTTTTTTTGACAGTAACATTTGTATTCTAATTATTGGAAAAACATATTCGTTCTGCAGCAGGTAATCGAAAAACGGAAGGAAAACAAATGTTACATCGCCACATGCTTCTCGTAATCACCGCAAGAATTAGATATTTTGCTGGTTTTATGTATATTTTTTTTGGATCTCAAAAGCTTTATCAATCAACTAATTCCAAATAATAAATTTTTCACACACAAATACAGTCCTCTCTCTATATAACGATGTGTAAGGGACCAGGAATTTTCACCGTTATAAGCAGAGATCGTTATACAGGGAGAGACAAAAATCGTTACTGTAACAACTGGAATACTGTAATAAAGAACCTATTGTAAATTAAAAAAAAATTGATCAAAAGGATTATAAATAAATTAACACTGTGTATACCGTACACAACATAGATTTACTAAAAAATTATATAAGAAATACAGTACAAAAAATGACTGTACAATTAAAAAATGTATACTGTATGTAACAAAATAAGATGGTACTGTACAGTATTTTCATCAAGGCATGAAAAAAGATTATATATTTAACCTACATTAACAACAAGTCTGTCATATGGGTGTGTTTTCTTTTTACTTTCCACAAAACTGAACTGAATTTGTCCTGAAGATGCTTAGAATCTATCACAGCACTCATATCGTCTTACTGGTAAATAAAAAACCGATGAAATACTTTTGCCGCATCTAATGTTGTATATTGAATAGATGTTGTAACTACATTTTCATCAACTTCTTCGAAATCTGTTAGCTCTTCCGGTCCAGGATGTTCAAACTGTCTGATGCAGACAGCAAACGGCAGGTTATCTTCATTCTGTCAATCCTTGATCTTCCAGCTATCCTGCGTGTTTAAAGGAATGATTTATAGTATTGCTCGTCCCTTCGTTGCAGGATTGACTAATCATTAGGATGGCGTCCAAAACGTTTAGTTTGAGATCACAATTCTTTTCAACCAATGCCATTAAAAGTCTTCTCCTGTAATGGCTTCTTAAACTCTTGATGACGCTTTGGTCCATGAGATGAAAGGCACTTTTAGTGTTTGCTTGCAGGAAACAAAGTTCAATGTTTTGAAGGTGGCACAATACAGGATGAGCCAGACAATTGTCTACAAACAGAAGCATTTTTTTCCTTTAAGCGTGACATCTTATTTTCTTATCGCTTCTTTAAAAAATTACGAAGTCATCCACGCCCTCTTGTTTGATTTGTAGGTCGCGGGTAGATTTTTGATGCTTCTAAAGCCACGTGGGTTTTCGACTTCCCTACCCTAACAATTTTTTCTTCACTGAACCTATCATGTTAGCGGCCACTAAACCGTAATGCAGTCCTTGAAGAGCTTTCCACCAACGCATCTTTCTGATTTAAAGTTCTGTTTAGTATCATTTTAAAAAATAATCCAGTCTCATCAGCATTGAAAATCAGTCGTCTGACGCATATCGTGAGTTCAGTTCTGGCACATGTTTTCTATCCAATCATCTGTTATGTTTTTGTTAACATCGCGAGCCTCTTCGCTAATCGGCCAGTAGTTGATCTTGTGCCGCAGCTTCCACTTGCTTACTTAACTCAACTTTTGTCCTGACCACAGGCCCAGAAAGTGAAATATGGTATAACGCTGTTGCTCCATTGTTGTTCAACCACTGAAGCATAGCGCGATCTAAATCTTCGTGCTGAGGTTTCCGCAACTTCTTCCTGCTTCGACTCAGACAGCAGCGTACGGCGAACGACATACGATTGAACGCTAAAAAGTCATCGCTATAGAGAAATAATTGATACGTTGTCCTTATGATGAACTAAACAACGTTTACTGTTGTTACGATAAATTCTGACCCAAAACCGTAAACATATGTATTACTACTATTCTCATTCATTCACGAATTTTCTAGGTGATACCTACCTGACAGGGGATGAATTCCCCTCCGCTATAAAAAACAACAATCTTTCTGGAGACGAGCCGATGTAAAAATACCAGTTTTTTAGACCATTCGCCGCTCTGTCTAAGACGAGAATGCCATCGAACCTTCGACGATGTCCTGTTTTAACACATGGTTTCATATAAATAACGGGGATTTTCATTGAGAAAGTCAGTCAAAAGAAGATATAGCGATCGCGTTTTAAATGTAACGATCGTAATAATAAATTATTATTGTAAATAAATTATTATAAATAAACTTTAAATAAATTAAGTTTGTAAGTGTTATAAATATTGAACCTTTAGTAAATTAAAATAAGAACAATAAATTAGAATTAATAAAAACATTATACTATTTTCATCGTTATAGAAAACTGATCGCTATAAAGAGAGACTACTGTATACACGAACGAAATATGCTATGCTAAATATGCTATTTTTTAGCATTTCAAGATAGGTTTAGCCTTAGTTTCTTTTCTATTTTTTTCATGTGTGTGATGGTCTAACTGGCCAGCTCATCATGTGGCTTTTAATGCAAAGCCTGTGTTGCAATAGTTGATTTTCTTAATGTATACACAATATATCGCTATTTACGTGTCGTAATTGTAATTTTTTTCGTCATGAAAATCCTAAGCATTTGTTTATAAAGGATTGTAATCTGACGACCAGTTCTTGCCAAATTTATATGTGTCCGCTTCATACAGTAAAACTTTTTCTCCCCGGTTTGGAAGGAACGCATTTTTGTTACCTTACTAATGTTATTCGAAGACCAGAACCTCTGTAATGAGGTAAATTTTGCATAAGGTTCTATTCTCCTTTGTATGCTACACTCGAAGTTTATTTCTCATATCTTTTTGCCCTCTCAGGCGTCGGATAAACCCAAAGTCTCTAATTTACTAAGCTTTCCATGTAACAGAACTTAATGAACTATTAGTTCGCAAGTTAATACACAGTTTCAGTAGCCAGCTAAGATCCATAGTTTAAAAGTCTTCAAAACACAACTTTCTGTCTGATATGGTGTCAAAATATATTTATACTACCAAATT